CTTGAAGTTTATTTATAAATTCTGCGAGAAGGGCTTCGTTATGTTCCTTAGATTGATTCTCAGCTTCTAGGGCTCGTTGGAGGTCATTCGCAAATTCTTTGATCAAGACTTTGTAATATACTTGAGGTTGATTTGGAGCTTCGTCATTTCCATCGGTTTCATTTTCAGCTTCTGCGTGAAGGGATTTTTGAAGTAGATTTAGAAATTTGGCGAGAAGAGGCTCTTGGCATTTATTTACAACTTCATCGAGAACGCCTTCGTAATGTTTTTTACGTCGATTCTCATCTTCTACGCGAAGGTCTCCTTGGAGATCATTCACAAATTCTGCGAGATCCACTTTGCAATTTTCTCGCTTTCGATTCAGAGCCTCTGCGAGTAGGGTTTTCTGATTTTCCTGGAGGTTATTTAGAGCTCTTTTGAGAATAGCTTCTTGGATTCGATTTAAAGCTTTTGCGTCTTGGTCTTCGTTATTTTCTTTGGTTTGAAGTACTGCTTCCGCGAGAAGAGTTTCTCGGAGTAAATTTAGAAATATGTCGAGATGAACTTGGTTATTTTTTGGGTGTGGTTTCAAAACTTCCGCGGAAAGGTTTTGGTGATTTTGTTGGGGTTGATTTAAAGCCTCTTCGGGGAGTACTTCGTCATTTTGGGGGAGTTGATCTTCTACACCAATAACGACGTCATCTTGTGGGAGTTGATCCAGATATCCTAGTTCTTTGAGATATTTCAAAGCTTCTTCGCGAACCTTCTTTTGTGTATTTTTGTGTTCCTCCAGATCTTTTTTCTTCATTTTTCCCAGCTTCGCGTAATATTCTTCTCGCAAAACCTTACGGTACCCGCGTAATTCATTAATAATCGTATCATACTTCAAATCCATTATTTTCATGATTTCCACAAAAGTTTCTTCGTGATCTGGCCACAATTTTATCTCATTTTTTGATGCCTCCATTCCGAGATAATAGCCTTTACCACTATTACAAGCCCTTTTCCCGTGAGTTTGTATATAATTTATGATATACTTCACCCTTTTTTTAATAGTCATCTCTCCCTTCTGACGTGTATACATTTTTTAATAAATTAAAAATTAACTTTTTAACAAACACTGAGGTACAGTTCGGCGATGAACAGCGGTTCGTCTTCGCTCAACGCTCGTTACGGACTACTGACTTGTGAGTTCAAATTATTTACTCATAAACATGCCGATTCGATTTAAGCAGCGTTCGTTACTCTTTGTAACGATGTTATGATACATGGGGTGGGACTCTTATAGGCAAGAATTATTATTAGCCGAACGTACATGTCAATCTCTATTGACTTTAAAATTCAAACTCGACGTTTAATTATTATGATAATTTCTTGTACTTGAACAACCAATCTTTTAGTGAAATCACGACAAAAATATATTATACATTTTTGTTCGTGTGCAAAATTTTCTAGCCTCAATTATTTGTACATAAATACATTGAAAAATTGGGGCCGAATCATTGCGAAGATATTTCATTTCGTGAAAACGAAAACTCATGTCACTAGAAAAATCCTACCAGCTCATTCGACGAGAAAATAAATTAAAAAATGGCAGCAAGATCAACGCTGCCATCAAATTTAATTGATTTGTTTTGCGAGAGCTTTGGAATTGAAAAAAAATTCCATTTGCAACGCGATTCAAAAAATTACGCGAGTTTCGACGACGTTTGACTCATTAACGAGTTCAGCTCGTTTCATTAATTCGAAAAACTAAAAGACTCGGCTGAGATTGTCATAACGTAAAAAGAGATGCTGGGAACATTCTTCTAATATTTTATTTGCACGCGGAGCAATTTAAAATAATTTTTATCAAGTCATTCTTCGAAGATCGACAGCGAAATATACTCAAAAAGAAATCGATTTATTAATAATCACGTCGACAATTTTCGACAGTAATACATCAGGAACTTTTTTCTAATCAGTCCTGTCATAAAAAGATCGGCTTGCGTCTTACACGCCGACATCCATTGCACCGAAGTGCTTCGGCAACCAACGACTTTGGAGCCTCGATACATACGCAAATGTATAAATACATCTATGCGCGTGATGGGGTGTGAGTACTTATTATGAATGCGCTGCGATCGAGCTTTTTCTCGACTTCTGTCGCGTGCGGAACGACGAGATCGACCGAGAGGGCTTTCGCTCGTGCGGTCAAACTCGAGATCGACTAATTTTCGTCCGCATCCTTGGCAGTTTTTTTTTTTTTTTGTATCGTGCAGCGCGAGGAATTAAAGGAGCCAAAATATGTTTGTCCATGCAGGTAGCCCAGAGCCATACACTATACTCGCTATCGTCTCTTCGTTTTTCCTTCTTTCTCTCGTTCCGATCTCTTTTGCCCTGTGTAACGTTCCGTGCACACAAGCACACACATACACCCACCCACTGTCTCTCTCTCTCTCTCTCTCGGTAAGAGGCAGTAACGATGCCTCCGGGGCTCTCGAGAGCTGCAGCTACGCTATATACCATAAAATATATATACATACACACGTGCTGTAGTCGGACACAAAGCCGGCTGCGCGTCGAGCTTTTCGCCGAGCGCTCGGAGCGATATGTATAAGCCGAGGCCGCGCAGATATGCACAGCCGCCAGAGAACGTGTATAGTCTCTGCCTGCAGCTCGAGGCTCGAGAGAGCCCGCGCGATAAGCAACGAAATGAAATATTAATGAAGCGCGAGTGGTATGTAGCAGCAGCGACGAGGGAGGAAAGGGGAAGAAACAGCGGCGGGGGTACGAAGGGGGGAAAAAAGGCTGAAGGCGCTTGCTGCAGCTCTCTCGAGCTCGAGCTCGACTTTGTTGGCCTCGGGCCCACCACCACCACCACCACCACCGCTACGTCGAATCTTTTCAGAACTGGAATTGCTATATGCGAGCCCTTCGTGTCACTCGCTGTGCGTTAACCGCGTGCAGGGTACACGCATTTCTCTCGGGGTCTTTTTTAGGCGCGCGTATAGCTGTCATTTCGAGCTCGGCCCTGTCTTATTGCCGATTTTTCGTTGGTAATTTCTTTTTTCTTTCGACCTGAAACGAAAATCGAATGTATCGATTGCAACCTCGGACAGTCGTTACACCGCGTGGTATGTATGATCAGGATTTTCAAAGCGCTGACGATATACTTTTCGCAGAGAATCTACCCTCGTGCTGCGATTCCTTTGACGCGTAACGCGTGTAAATAATACAGTGAGAAATTCCTCAAATGTAACGTATCGATTTTCGCTCGATCGCGATAAAGCATCAAAAAAATCGGCCTCTTTAACCATTTTACTTTGTGCATTTCTAGTAATGGATACCCGCTAAAAATGAATTTTTTATTTTTCTTCGTAATCGAATTTAAGCTTGCGACGCTGTGTACATTATACGAGATACGTGTACATAAGCTTTATACAGTTGTAGCGCACCGACCCGCTCGTCGCCGCTGACAGCAAAACAAAATTCAGTTGTGTAGATTTTGATTGACATAATTTCTCATTACATTGCCAGAATACTTTTGACTAGCAAAACAAAATTGAAAGCACGCGGGAACTTTTCTCGACATTTAGCTCGTACTCGGATCTTCGAGCGTTCGCTTAAGCGGCTGTCGTGCCGCGTACGTATCGAAAGCAAATTTCACGTGCGATTTGTTTATTTTCGTATCTAATACCGAGCGTAAGCAGTGAGATTCGACGTTTGGTGTTCGTTTCTGGAATAATAACAAATTGTTTTCGTCGTTGTTGACGAAAATTTGAACACGCTCGGCTCACGAGTTTATTTAGAATTAAAACGAATTTTTGTAATTAAAATAAATTTTCAAAGCGATAATTTACGATTGGAAATTATCGCGCGTATACCGAGCGTAAGCAGTGAGATTCGACGTTTGGTGTTCGTTTCTGGAATAATAACAAATTGTTTTCGTCGTTGTTGACGAAAATTTGAACACGCTCGACTCGCGAGTTTATTTAGAATTAAACCGAATTTTTGTAATTAAAATAAATGTTCAAAGCGATAATTTACGATTGGAAAATATCGCCCAGCAGCACGACGACTCGAGGAGAAAAATAATGCCAAATCCTCGCGAATCCATTTAAAATTCAATTTTTAAATATATCCCATTTTTTACCAAACGCATCTCATAAATTTCAGGAGTATAAATCGTAACAGTTTCGAATTTCGGAGCCAAAAGTGCGCAGTCGTGCAGCGCGCATCCTCGCCTTCTTTACTCGCACGCGCTATACTATATACACTGTATACGGAGAAATCAGCTGTTTCTCGACTGCGTGCATGTGCTGCTGCAGCCAGCAGCAGCTGAGCCGTCGACGCGAACGACAACATTGCCTCCGCGTGCGATTAAATATATAAATCGAGTCGTGCCGTGTGCGTTTCTGTACTCGCACGTGGTATGGAGACAACTCCTCTACCTCGTAGGATACTTCTATAGCTTTTGATATAATACGCAAGGAAATAGTGCGACTCGGAGTCGAAGCGAGTGTCGGTGCGCGCGAGTGTGCGTTTCATTTTCGCTGCTTCTCTCTCTCTGTATTGGGATCGATGCCGTCGCAGCCGTGATCGAAATCTCATATATACGATATATAAACGTGCCATGCTGTGTCCCGAAGTCTGGAACTTCAAGGCGCCGAAATGCGCCGTCGAGTTGAGCGAACGCAAAGGCGGCTCCTCGCCCCCCGTCATCGCCCAGCACTACTTCAATCATTCGGTTAGTACATACATACAGCAATATGACATCCTCGATTATTCGGCCGTACTATTATTATCCTATATACGTATAGGCTTGGTGCACTGCGAATCGCAAAGCCTTTGTTTGGCTGCCAGCCCCACCTCGTAGACATTCGTACACACACATATACTGTACCCGCGAACATACATATATGTGTGTCACGACGATTTCACGTTGCATATAGGTACATTACAATATATATAGTCTCGACTCGAGCCACGAGGTTATAACTATCAGCGCACGATATAGAGTCTCTCTATACATTGCACGTGTGTGTGTGTTGTGTGTGTTGTGTGTATGTACGTACAGCAGCACTCCATTGCTTTCTCTCTACACACATACACACGCGCGATAGTCGCTTTCGGTGCACGCGACGACGACGACGACAAAACTGCAGCAGCAGTGCACGTTCAGCTGCTATATAGGAGCGCAGTGACAGTCGCCAATGCTGTCGCGCGCGTCGGTGCAGGCTTAAAGAAGTGCGCGAGGAAACCTCTCGCGGGCAGGCAGCACTGTACTACACGCGGCTGCTCTGCAGCCGTATTATAATAATATAAGGAAAAGAGAGTATATAAGCGCGAGCGAGCTCTCGAACGTTTTGTAAACATCGTAGTAGTACTTTTTACGTGTGCCCTCGTCTGTCTTTGTGAACGCGCGACGACGACGACGACGACGACGACGTTTACATAGAGGCGCAGATTGCGCTACATAATAGACACACGGCAGCTGTCCGATATCATAAACGTGCGCGTGTGGTTGTGGTTGTTGTTGTTGTTGTTGTTGTTGTTTTTTAAATGTTTCGTTGTGCAGCACAAATATCGTCGTTATTCATTTCGATGTGTATAAGGAAGCGATAGAGATGACGTCGAGGGAAAGACAAACGTGCAGCGCGTATGGAATTTTCACTTTCTCTTAATACTGTACCTATATATTATATATAAATATACACATTTTCACGCGCGATTAAGCATCGATCACCACCACCACCAACCGTAACAATGTGTATATGTATATAATGTGTGTGTGTGTGTGTGTGTCTGGTATAGTATATCGCCACTTAACGATCGATGAAAAAAAAAAACTTTTCCACGCGTATGTGTGCATGTGCACAGCTTCGATCGATCTCTCGCCTGTATATATTACGCGATATAGCTCAATGGTTGCACCAAGATCGCAGTTGTGCATTTTTAAATTTTCTTCAATCTTTTTTTCGAATATAAATGATAATACGTGCGCGACACACACACGCGCGCGTACTTACCTCGTGTATCTACGTATAATACATTGGCGCGATACTCGACACAAAGTCGCGAACGTTGCGGAACTAATTGCAACTTATTGTTGTTGTTTCTTTATTTTCGTGTGTGTGCGTGTGTTCGAATGCAATAGCCCCTTGTTTCCTTTTTTTTTTCGTTGTCAATGAATAATAGACTCGCGCATTACAATGCATATAATATACGCGCGCGCATACATAAGTACATTGAAACCTTGCAAAAATGTATATCCCAACTCGCGCGCGGCGCTCGCAAAACGCTACACGATGTATATATATAGTTAATGCTGCTACATAGACAGAGAGAGAGAGAGAGATACTTTTGGAGCAGCTGTCAAGAGCGAGTCGAGCTGCTGCACCGTGTGATTTGTGTGTCGACGTCGATACGCGTACTCTACGTTATATACTTATAAAATCGGTTTCGCGGACTCGAGATCGGTCCGTCTTTTTTTTTATTTCTCGCTCTCCTCTCGGCTAATTCATTCCGATCCGTTCGTTTCAATGAAAAATAATAAGCGTCTCTCGCGACTCGGCGCGCGATGGAAAGTGCCAAAGATCGGCATCGCTGTCGTTATTACACTATTATTATTATCATCGTACGTAAGAACTCGGCGATCGAGATTTTTCTGGTTAATCACGAAAATCTAGATTGCTCACTGTGCCGTTGCATACGTTATATATATAATAATGCCACGGCGCTCGCTTTAAATTGACCGCTCACTCGCGAGATTCAGGAAGTAATAACGAATGCACGCGCCGACGTGTGTTACACATATACATATACATCTATTCACGTGTATAAATGCATTTGAAACGAATAGATTATTTTGGCATCGTAAAGCTTCGCGCTCGCCGACTATTCAATAATTTTCATTTATTCTCGCGCTCGTCGAGGAAATATAGATCGCGAGAGCTCTGCGCGCGTTCGTTGCAAAGTCGACGCGAAGTGTTTTTCTCAAACGTTCGGAACGACGCGTATATATTTACACCGATGATTGTTTTTTTTTTATCGCTGTTTCGACATTCAATGACTCGTTTAACATTTTGAAATAAGACGATGTAAGATTATTTGTAAAAATGTAAATCTAACGATCGTTATGTAATTTTTGTTTGTTTATACATATATAGGTATCGTTGTTTCACCCGAGAGCGATGAGTTACCCTGACTCGAACTTCGTGGGCGATCTGCTGCAAAATACCGGCTACTGGAAGGTCAAGCGCCTGAGTCTGGCCGAGCTCATCGACAAGGAGTTCATCGCGAAGTTCGTTAAGGAAGGTCAGTCAGAGAGACGATTCAGATCTAGATGTTTATTTTGCCCAAACTGCGCAGTTGTGTGCTTCATATAAACAAAGTTTGTGTTACGTTTTCGCAGGCGAAGTGACTCTGCTGTCGGTCGGCGCGAGGATCGACACCGACGATGTAGTCGCCGTGACGCCGAGCGGCTTCCTGGTGCTGAATCTACTGCGCTCGACCTACCAGGCCAGCGGCCTCGAGGGCAAGCCCAGCTACTTCGAACGCTCCAAGAAGGAAGCCACTCGTTTCGGTAAGTTCGCGTACAACGACGATAACGACGATCGTCGGTAATTTCGACGCTCGAAGCGCAATCTTCGATGACGACGTAGCGTAAAAAAGAGGAAAAATGCCACCGAGACACGAGGTAGCCACGCTGTGCGATCTCGCCCTGATGGCACTGGGCCGACTGGTCGTCGAGTTCGGCCGCTCGCTCGTCGCGCCCACTGCCCGTCTGGCGGCGCGCCTCGACCGCGCCTCGGCCCAGTCGTATCTGCACGCGATGCTGCGCGCGATGCGCGCCCAGCTGGCCGCGAGCGTGCCCTGGCACCTCTACGACCGCATGGCCCTGGTGGCCCTCGAGGCCGTCAGCGAGCACATCGCCCGCACCACCGCCGATCGGCATCGCTTGCAGAGCCAGCGCTTCCTGCACGAGATGAGCGTGGCCGTCAATCTCACTCGGGTCGTGGTGCATCCGCATCTCAAGCGTATCGAGCTGTCGGCCTGGCCCAGGATCATGCGCCACGCCCTGTACGACTCGCTGGCCGGCATGAGCGGCCTCGAGGTGCTGGATCTGGGCTCGGGCTCGGTCGGCTGGCGCACCTCCGACATCGAGCGCCTCATCGTCCGGGCGCTGGGCCGCATGCGCCGACTGCGCAGCTTCACCCTGTGCTTCGACTGCACCGACCAGCTGATCGCCGCCCTGTGTCGCAGCTGTCCGCGCAGTCTGCGCAAGCTCGACGCCACGGCCTCGCGCTCCGTGACCGATCGCAGCGTCGGCTATCTGCTGGACTGTCCGCAGCTGCGCGAGATCAGGCTGTCGAGCACGTCGGTGAGCCCGCGGGGCTGGGCCGAGCTGCTGCTGCGCCATCCGAGCCTCGAGGACATCGGCAGGTACGACGAGCTCGGCCGGGCCCTCGAGCTCGTCCGGGAGCGCAACCCGGCCAAGCGACTGTTCGGACTGCGCAGCTTCGAGTGTCGCCACATCGGCCTGGAGCAGCTGCGTCTGCTGGTCGACACGTGTCCCCGCATCAGCGGCCTCTGCATACTGAGGGACGAGCGAGTCGCCGATCTGTCCATGCTCGCGGCCCTGAGCGAGCTCAGGGAGCTCAAACTGCTCAGCTGCGACTTTTACGCCCACGGACTGGGCAGACTACTGGAGGTGTGCGGCGGCCAGCTCGAGAGTCTTCACCTGGAGCACGTGGGCGAGCTCGATCTGCAGGCCCTCGTGCACGTCAGCCAGCACTGTCCGCGGCTGCGCTCGCTCACCTTTTACAATTGCGAGTTCCTGACCGCCGCCGAGCCGAGACAGCTGCTGCAGACGTCGAGGCTCCAGGTCGCGCCCTTCCTGCGACTCGAGCGGCTCAAGTGCGTGGTCGACTGCGCCGAGGCCCATCTCGAGTTCGTCCTGTCGCACTGCCTGAACGTGCGCTTCATCCATCTGGGCTCGTCGACGGGCGTGGGCGACGCCACGATGCGCCGCGTCCTCGCCAAGAATCGCATGGCCAAGCTCGAGGAGCTCAAGATCATCTACGGCGCGGAGCTTTCGATGGCCACCGTCCACCTGCTGCTGCGCAACTGCCAGAGGCTCGCCCGGCTGTCGGAGCTCGAGAGCTGGGACGGCATCTCGCCGCCCGAGCTGGACGCCTTCAGGCAGCGTGTCAGGGACAACAATTTCAAGCTCGACACGAGTCCGACCCTGTCGCTGGCCTGACAGAGCAAATGAAAAACGACAAAACAAAAAAAAAACATTGTGTGATATTGTTCCTAAAAAAACTGACTCGATACATGTAATACGTAATTGATTTCGATGGAATATCAAACATATTTTTATATGCAGACTTATACACGCAACTTTCTCATTCTCCGAATCGAAGCAAAGCAAAAGAAAAAAACATCAAGGTGCGGCGAAGGATACTTTTTTTAAGCGTATATTGTTTTTCTTGTTTTTTGCATGTTGTTTTTTTCGTGTCCTCTCTTCTCGCCCTGCCTCCCCGCAGTCGTGACAATCGATCTGAACGACGAGAAATTGACGCCCGGCAAAAAATACTACGACAGAGTACACAGGGCTCTGAGCAAGCTCGAGTTCGACGTTCTGCTGGCCTGGGATCCCTTGGGTATGATCAATGATAATAACGACGGTAGCGTCTTGCGCGCCAACATTTTTCAACCGATGAAAATTTTACCGAATTGCAGATCCGATGGTGTCCCACTTGTCGATAATGTTGTGGCTGGTCAGACGGAAGTACAAAGCCAGGCACATTGAGCAGACTGTGCGTCAAAAGAAATTGACGGATCTCGACGTACCTGCCATAGGAGACGAAACGGTTTCTCCGGCTTTCTTCGAGTGGCTGGGAATGATCAGTATTGGTGGTGTTTTGTGAGTATCGACAGCTTTTTTTACGCTTGACCTTAATTAAGTTGGTGAACAAAATTTAATGAAAAAAATATAAGGTTTCAATTCCGTCGCGGTCGTTAATTATCTATTTGACGTAAGTGTCATTTAAAAAAAAAAACGTTCACTGTAAATGGAACTGACAAGTTTAATCGAGCACTTAATCACTTTTGTGCTTTTTACGCACACTCGAGGTTTCGAATGAGTCAACCATTCTATCGATAAACATACAATTTATTCAAAGTTAAAAGATATCAGTGAAAAATAGCTTCATTTTTCTCTCTTTTTTTTGCAGGGAGAGCCACGACACAGACGGAGAGTATCTGAGTTCCTACAGCTGCCCCGTCCCGAGCACCAGAGCCGACTGCCTGTACTTGCAGATAAGAGGCTTCCTGACGCGCAAACGGATGGAGCGGATCTTCAAGCTTCATCAGGAATTTTACGCCGCGGAGCGAGCCAAGATCGGCGCCGACAATTCGTGGTTCGCCGCGGACGTGCAGGGCTTCGCCGACAGCCCCGTGAGCTGGGCCCTGAACGAGCACTCGTTCTACGTCGACGGCGACAACAGCTACACCGTCGTCTCGGCGGGCGACAAATTTTTCACGCGCAAGAGCTGGAGCTCGAACAGCATGCCGAAAATCAAGCAATAACGATCATTTTCGCCCGAACGATCCATTAATTGTAATTCAAATTAGGATAGTCGATTTTGTAAGATATACATTAAGTTTGTAACATCGTAAATATTAGTTATTTTTTCACTGTTTGAGAAGAAATCATGAACTGAAAGGCTGCATTGATTATACATACACGCGATGACAACCACAACTTTTTACTCTTTTCTTTTTTCGTGTACACTGAGAATTGTACATTGTTGATGATTGTTGATAGATCTTTTTTTTCATTGTGGCTGTGTTGAAAAATAAAAATATTTTACTATACTTGAAAAATGTAGATTTATTTTCTTTACCTACTACTATTAAATTGCACGTGGAAAGATCAAAGCAACTTTTGATTCGTATGATAATATCATCTTTGATAAAAAAAACTAGATTACACAATATTCAACAAGTCGTTAATGGAAATTTTTAAAATGGAACTTATACATTCTACAGTAATGATATTGATGATAATTCAAATGAAGAAGCTATTGCATTCTCTACAATTTCACTAAAAATACTCATCAAAGTAAAAAACTTTGAAACTAGAATTCGATCACTGTATTGAAGTTTTCATATCGTCTATTGTTTGGCCGTGTGAAAGTTGTTGAAAAAAATTAAGATATAGTAACTAGAAATAGTCGTTTCGTTTATTTTCTTAAACCCCCGAGGCAATGCATGTTAGATCGTTACAAGACTGTAAAAAACGATATTATTGCTCGAGCCATTTATCCGATATATAATTGTTTTTCTACCGCACGCGCTAAAGTGCGAAATCATCGATGCGCATCGTCGTAAAAAAATTTATGCCGCATTATAGAAATTCAATCTTTCTCACTCGCAAACCCCACGAGAATTTGATATAAATTTCTCTTCGATCTGAATAAAATAATAATCAATAAATGCGCTGCGTGTTTAATTTAATAAAGAAAAAATGAGAATTTTGACTTTTCATATGAAAACAAATTCGAATTCAATGACGAAACCAGCAGCAGAAAAAAGATCGCGCCGTACAGCACCGAGCAAGAGAATCTCACCGAGGCCCTTCTGCAGCGAGCACAAAAAATGAATGGTACACCCAGCCGACGATCAGAAGTGAGAAAAATTGCGACTGTGCTCTCTAATTTCAAAGTACTTACCGAAAATAATTAGCGGCCGCACTGTCGGCACTCGTGCTCCTTCGTGCGCGAGTTACGAGTAACAACGATAAAAGGTGCACAAAAGTCGTCAAGATGAAAGGTTGAACTCGTAATGTATCGTATATAATTTTTTGTTAAAAAAAAAAACAACAATGTACCGCGCGCGAGTACGAGTATAGTTGGAATTGCCTTTTGTTTCTATAATGGAAAGTGCGCGGGTAAGAAATGGGCGGAGTAATTATAGTGCTAATTCTGGACACTTTTACAAATTTTACAAGAAAAATCGAACGAGATAAGGTGGTGAAGTTACAAATGATGGTGTGAAGCGAGTTTTCTTGAAAAAAAAACACTTTTTATTGCATCGTTTCGATGTAGTTCTCAGTCGACAAAAGAATATTTTCTGTTAAATATTATGTTACAACATGAAGCTAGGGTGATTTGTGAAGGGATTTATCAAAGTACTTTTGTTTACATTTACATCTCCATTGCCTGAAATACATTACCATTAATTGGCTTGTTATTGGTAATTTTTCCTTTATAATTACGTTAAATTACATTTTAAATGACTGAATAATTGAATTGTTTCAAAAAGTGCAGACCAGTTTCCAATTACTTTACTTACGTCAATTCTTTTTTTAATCTTCACCACTAGATGGCTAGTACACCGTCATTTGTAAACCTGCAAGTGGCAAAGTGAAAAAAATTGTATAAGTACAAGCACGATTTTCAAGTTTTTGAAGGTTAAAGATTTTCAAGTATTTCCGTTTAGCCATTTTGTGTTGAAAAAAGTAACGTTTCACTTTTGGTCAATATAAGTTCAGTTTTAATGCCTATTTTAAGAAAATTTTGTCAAAAATTAATTTTCATTCCCTTTTTTCGAAAAACAATAGCGGAGGTAAAGCATAAATACTTCCAAACTAGATCGCACTATTCTTGAACGCGATTATCTTCAAATCGATCTCATTCGTCGCGCATCTATTAATCGCCGATATCCAAAAACATCGCGATCGTTGCGATCCTATCCATTACAATACAATATAATCACATACGAAGTATATATTCGCGCGGAAAGATCAGCCGCGATACACATACGAAAACGCCGCAGTATGCACGAAATCGCACGTGAAAAACGCGACGCGCCGATATCTAACGAGGCGAAATTCGAGGCCCCCATGAATCATTCGTTCAGTGCGGCAATAAATAAAGCTGCGCGCCGGGTTAATGCAGTCCGATATTATATGCACATTATGTGCGCTCTGTCCGGCGCTGCGCTGGCCCGTGGCGTTCGCGCGCGCACACATAATACGCGGAGGATAAATTAAGACGAGCGATCACACCGCACACGGAAAGTAAAGAGAGAGAGAGAGAGAGAGAGCGAGTTAGCATCGATACGAGCCCCGACGGTAAGTATATCTCGTATAGCCGGAAGAGACTCGAGAGTCTCGCGCCCGGTATATACGGCTATAGCAGCCTCCCCCGCATGCATATATAGCTGTTTCGGTGCCGAGCGCAGCGCCGATTTATGCATACGTAACGATGTGTGTGCAGCGCATTATACCATATTAAAAGAAAGGTGAATCCGATATTCTCTCACGACCTTTTCAATGCCGACCTATAGTGCGGCGTGCTCGTCGTCGTCGCTGGCTGCGATATTCCGCTTCGGCATTGTGTACAAGGCCCGCGTGCATACCCATAGGCTAGCTAATGGCTCGTCCCACAGCAGAGCGCGGAACATGGAGCCCGCTCGAGGGCTCGCGAGAGGGTTGCTGCGGCTATATACCAGTACATACTCTATACACACACATACCTATATCGCGTATTTATACGAGTACAAACCGATCAAGCTGGAATCTTAGCGAGATCTTCTTGCCCCTCGGACACTTTTGCATTTTAACTTGTGTATGTGTGTTTGTGTGTGTATGCGTGCGAATGCTGTGGGCGGGAACATTATCTTTTCCTCCCTGCTCGGCCGGCCTGTCTGCCGCAGCCTTGCGGGGGTGTTATATGCCATTTTCATATACACACACAGACACGGACTCGCGCGTACGGCGCGCACACACACGAATATATAATAAGAAATACTTTGCATGTGGGAATGCATTCTGGAGCACAGCTCACGACCACGACGACGACGACGACGACGACGACGACGCCAGAGCTGCGATAGAGATAGAGGCGATCTCCCCTGGGCTATGAGTGTCCTTTTTGTATGGTACGTATATATATCGATGGTGTCTTACGCGCTGTATATGGGGAAAAGGACTGTTTGGATTTTTTTGTAGGACATGCCGAGTTTTTATTCTGTGTACGATTTAGAACGTTTTGGGAGAATTGATGCGAATTGAGATATATGTAAAGGATAGATAAAATAGCGCGAAGTTCAAATAAGACACAATCACAAGAGATTCATTTTTTATTTAAATTTTTGGAAAATTTGTATCTATATAAATACTTTTTACATTTTTCAAGAAAAAAAGTCAGTGCTTTTAATATATTATTGATAAAATATATATTTGAATAATGTTACTGCAATGCATTTGACATTCGTTTGATCAATTAATTATTCATAGAAGCATCATATAATTCGGTATATTTGTAAATACTGTCTCGGTGTCTTATGAAGCTAGTGCAAAAGCCTTTTGACAAATATCACAAACGTGTTTTATTTTCGTCTAAAAAGAGTCGTATGTGTGCGTGTGTGTGTATGTACGTACGTGAGAGAGCATTAACTCATACGGCAATGTTCTCTCAGCATTATCTCTTTTTATTATTTTATATTGTAGATTTATAATTAGTTTATCAACGATAAAGGTTTGGTCATCATGGATCAACAATAAAGTGTATATTGGTGGTCTTACATAAAAATAGCATCTTTTAAGAGAAAGCTCTTTGCCAACATTTAAAAAACCAGTCATAAAAAAAACATTCTCATCACCTTCACGAACTTCGGTTGACAAACGCCAAGAAAATTTTACATAAATCTTTATTTCGTAGATTTTCGAAGATCATATCGCAGCAAAGAAGTGGCAGCCGACAGTGCGTCAATTTCATGAAAGGATCCATTGCCCAGAACAGAAAAAAATTTCTTGATAGTTTCTCGCACAGATGCACCAGACAAGCCTCTCTGGATCCTTCCGGCGCTGTCCATTTGAGTGTAAAATCAAAGTATTCCTGGAATGTGATTAGTTCTTTCGCCCCTCTATGTGGTAATCGGATGAGGTCGCCGAGCGACAGGTACGGCTTCACCGTCGTCTCCTTCGCTCTTTCTGCAAACTCTTTGTCGTCGTACCAACGTATTTGATCAAGATCTGCCGATTTCTCGAGCAATCTGTATTTGTCGAAAAATTTCATGATCGTCAATACGTCGCTTTGGTCCAGCTCGTATCCACCTTTCGAGAGATTTTCAACGGTGGCCAGAACGCTAGACACCAGTCTCAATTTAATATAGTTCAAAATATTGCCGTGTTCGGGTATGTTATATAATATCTCTTCGAAGTGACTCTCGGTGGGGAAAACGAAGCTAGCCAGATCAGCACCATTATTCAACAGAAGATCGACGATGTAAGATTGAAATAATACCACGGCGCATTGCAGCGGTGTCCGTCCCTTTTTATTTTTGACATCGACTTGCACCACTTGATGTTGATCTTTGGTAATCTTGAAGAATAGTTCCGCCAAGTAATCGATCTGAAATTGATTTCTCTTGCAAAGATTATGCAAAGGTGTACATCCTTCTGCATTAACTAGATTAGGACCGGCGCCTCTTTTCAGTAAAATTTCGGCCACCTTGTAGTCGGAGTTATATTTCAGAGCCAAGTGTAGTGGCGTGTTACCCTCGTTGTCCCGGGCATCGATCTGCACCAGCTTATTCAAATCGTCGTTAACCTTTAAGAAAAATTCTGCCAAGTCGCCATCGTTCAATTGATTTCTCAAGGAAATAGTATGCAAAGGAGTATATCCTCCTGCATTGGCTAGATTCGGGTCAGCATTTCTTTCCAGCAGCTCTCGGACAGTCTGATCTTTATAGCCTTCGTTCAGAGCGAAATGCAGCGGCGTGTTACCCCACTTGTCCTGGGCATTGACCGTCACCGGCAGATGTCTGTCCTTACTGAGCTCAAATATCATCTTCACTGAGTCATATGTATTATAG